AATAAGCCAAAAAGAAAAAGAAAAATACCGGATGATCTCACTCATAGCAGGAATCTAGAAAACTTAAATAAGGGACCAGGAAAATGAATATAAGAAAGTGAAAATCAAAATCAACAAAAAACTATGAACCAGAGACACTTTTTGTGAGGTGGGGGGCGGGAAGGGAAGGATTGGGGTCAGAATGGGGCTTTTGCAATTGTATGGGGGAATATAAAAATAAAATTTATTATTTTAAAAAAAAAAAGAAAAAGGAGGGGTTTTTTTTTTTGATTCTTGTAACAGAAAAGTAGAAAAAAAAATAGGAGAAAGAAGAACACAAGGGATTAGGGTGATGGTTTCCGGGTGCCATGGTAATGTGAGAATTATGGGTACTACACCTGAGGGTAGAAACCAAATATTGTACAAAACCGAACAATGATGTAAGAAAATTAAAAATTAAATGAAAAAAATAAAATATATTTAAAAAATAAACTGAGAAAAAAATAAATTCATTCTTAAGTATGATTCTTTTTGATTGTGAATGCCATGGTAGCTCTTTCATTCCTATTATGTAGAAACACAAATGGTATTTGTATATTGATTTTTGTTTCCAGCAATTTTATTTCAGCTCTGTTAGATTTATGTATCTATTTCAAGGCCTAACGATGACTTGTATTTCAGAATATTGCACATGCATATGAGAAAGATGTATATTCTGCTGTTGCTCAGTGAAGTGTTCTTTAGCTGTCGAATTAGATCTAATTTTTTTCAAGATTTTTTCAAGTCTTCCATTTCATTGTTGACCTATTTAGTTTTTCAATTCATTTTTGAAAGTAGGATATGAAAATATCCTACTACTTTTGCTATCTATTTTTCCCTTCATGTCAGTCAAATTTTACTTTAAGTATTTTAACTCTCTCTTATTAGGTGCATGGGTATTTATTATTGCTAATATACATTTCTTCATGTGTCAACCTACTTTACCATATATATATAATGTCCTTGTTTTTTTTATAATAATTTTGAAGTATATTTTGTCGGATATAGCCATTCTCTTTTGGTTATTATTTACACGATATATCTCATTTATCCTTTTAATTAAAAATTTTTTGTGTCTGTGAATTATAATTCAGTCTCATATACAGCACATAGGATGGTCATGGTCTTTTACACAGTCTGTCAATCATTGACTTTTAATTGGAGTATAATTACATTCATTGTAATTGCTGAGGAGACAGGGGTTAAGTGACATTTTATTTTATTTTTTAATTAATTAATTAATTTGTTTGTTTGTTTGCTTGTTTATTTATTTATACAAGCACTGGGTACAGTCAGAAGCATGGGAGGGTGAGAGAATTCACCAGAACCAGAGCAGGGAGCAGAGCAGGCAGAAGGACCGAGGTACACTGCTGAGGGGAGCAGCGGGTGGCAGAAGAGGTCTGCGGCGCCACGTGGGACCCTCCTCCGGTGGCCGGGGAGCAGCCGGGGAAGGAACCGGCGCTGCAGAGGCTGCGGGCAGCTTTGCAACCCAGCGCTCAACCGCTGCGCCACCGGGGAGGCCGTTAAGTGACATTTTAACATTTGTTTTCTATGTCTTTTATATGTTTTTTTCTCTTCCTGCCCTCCATTACTAGCCTTTTTTGGTGTTACACAGATATTTTCTAGTGTACAATTTTAAGCATGCTGTTGTTTCTTTTTTTTTAAATGATGTTCTTTGTAGCTATCTTGAGTATTATAATTAATATAAACAATCCAGTATGAATTAATATTGTCAATTTCAATAGAACATATTTAAATAAACTTTGTTCTTTTATAATATTAGTCTTAGTGCCTCATGTCTTTTCATTTCAGCTTGAAGGACTTCCTATAGTATTTCTTATAGAAGAAGTTTCTCTGTCAGCAGTGAGTTTTTTGTTTTAGGTTATCTGGAAATGTTTTCCTTTCCCAGATTTGAAGAGTAAATTAGCTGTATATGGAATCATTTTATGACAGCTGTTTTCTTTCAGCCTTTAAATATGTCATTCCACTGCTTTCTGGCCTTCATGGCCTTTTATGAGAAATCACGTGTTAATCTTGTTTCTCCCTGGCTGTTTTGTCTTTAGACAGTTTGATTATATCTAAGTATAGGTCTCTCTGAGATGCTCAAGACTTTGAAAAATGCTCTGAGTTTATCCTACTTGAGGTTCATTAAGTTTCCTGGATACGTAGATACACATTGTAAACTTTGGTAACTTATGGTCGTTACATATTTTTCCTACCCTTTCTTTCTCTCAGCATTCCTTCTGAGTTTTCCCTTATGCACAAGTCAGTAAGTTTCAGGATGTCCCACCAGTTTCCAGTGCTGTCTCCATTTTTCCTCATTCTTTTTTTTTTTTAAAGATTTATTTATTTATACAAGACCTGGAGTGTAGGCCAGAGGTGTGGAGGGTGAGAGGATTCACCAGAGACAGAGTGGGGAACAGAACAGGCAGACTGATGAAATACACTGCTGAGGGGAGCAGTGGGCGGGAGAGGAGAGGTCTGCTGTGCCATGTGGGATTCTCGTTGGCCAGCCGGGATCAAACCCATGCTGCAGAGGCGTGGACAGCTTCACAATGTGGAGCTCAACCGCCTGCACCACCAGGGAGGCCCCCATTTTTCTTCATTCTTTTATCTCTTGTCCTTTGGGCTCTGTAATGTGCTTTGGTCTATATTTAAGGGTGTTGATTCTTTCTTCTTCATGCTCAAATCTGCCATTGAGTTTCTATTGTGAATGTTTTATTTTAGTTACCATACTTTTTTCAATTTTTATTGTATCAAAATACACAAAACATAAAATGCACTATCTTAATTATATTTAATGGACAGCTTGGTGATAGTAATCACATTCTTATTGTTGAGAAACTATCACCACCATCTATCTCCAGGACACTTTTCATCTTGCAAAAGTAAACTATCACTCCACATTATGTCTACTCCAGACTTTGACAACTTCAATTATCTTTCTGCTTCTTTTTTTTTTTTTTGACAAATGCTGGTACTTCAAAACAGTGAAAGACATTGTGTGTGTGTGTGTGTGTATAAGAGAGGACTTATTTCATTTAGTATTATGCCCTCAACTTTCATCCATGTTGTAGCATGCCAGAATTTCATTCCTTTTTAAATTTAAATAATATCCCAATTATACCTATTGACCACATTTTGCTCACACATTCATTTGTTGATGGACACTTGAGTTGCTTCTATAGGGAAGAAAGTAAACCTCAGTTGGTAAGCTCAGGAGAAACTCTTCTAATAAGGAGATTTTCGTGCAATTTAGGCTGTGGCGAAAACAGAGAAGACTCCCTCTCCCTCCGCCAAATTTATCTTTGTGACAAATTTCTCAAATTTCTCCTAAGAATTTAAAACCACAGTCTGAAATCACAAAGACATAATTAGAATTCACACCATCTGTGTGGTCCAGGAACCCAGAACTGAACTTTGATTTAAAGCAACAGAAACACCAGGTAGAGGCACAGCAAACCCTCCTTAGAAGAACTTGCCCTCAATGCAAGCTTCAATGAAATCCCACAGAATAACTTCCAGGAAACATGAGCTCAAATAACAAGTTACTGAACAGAAAAGTGAAATATAACCAGGAGACAGAGTAAAATGAAACTGCAAATTGCGCCCACATATTGGAGTATTCAGGAAATATAAATAAATAGATTTCTTTGAAATATGGCGAAGAAGTCAGAGACTATCAAAACTGTGCGTGAAATTAGAAAAAAGCAATGAAATAGAATGTCTTTAATAGTGAGAATAACCACTGAAATCTTAAAATCCATAGAAGAACTAACAGACGATCAGACGATTGGAAGGGTCAACATAGGCTGGTGGGGTCACAAAGACAAAGAAGTAGGAAAGTAGACAAGTCACTAGGAAAAAACAGATACATCACTGCCAAGCTGATTCACAAAAGCTAGACAACTTGAATGGTTATATGACTTTTAAAATCATTTAAAAGAGAACAGCAGGCCCAAGTGAGTCTACAGGCAAGTTTACTAGACATTCCTAGACATCAGCTATATAGACTTTGAAAATTTAAGGTGTTTTGAGGTGTATTAAATTTGGAGTCAACTAATTAATCTCCACATAAGAATACTTATCCCATAACTAGGAGATCAGTGAATTTTTATTTTCTATCTTGTTTTTTTCTGTACTTAAAATGAATTACAAAGTGTGTCTGTCCATTATCTCATGTTTGTCTTCTCATTACAATGCCCAGGAAGGATAGTCATAAAACTTTCTGCCTGAGATTTCATCATTTGTTTGTCATGTCCCATGACAAACTTTATAATATGTTTTTATAAAGAAAGCCAATAAAGTTAATTGAATTTTTATGAGTCATACTTTAGTACCTATGATCAATACACTGGAAATGGCCCATCATAAATTCTACACTTAAATTTCCATATTTATCCCACTTAAAAATTGTACTCTATAAATGTTCAAATAAATTGGATATGTACATACATATACATATGTATATTCTTAAATGTAGCATTAATTTTTAAACAGTGACTTCTAAGCTATATTATCAGTCAAAAGCAAAATACTGGAAGGTAGACTACTATAAAAATGATATCTTACTGTAGTGCCAAGAGACAATTTTTAAATAAAGTTCTTCAATTTAGAACATAAATTACCTTGCTTGAAGATGATATTAAACCTGAAAATATTTCCTAAAGAATTTTGTACACTCCAAATAATATGCACAGCTCACTAGCCTAAGAGTCATTGACAAATCAGTTATTCATTAATTCCTGAATCCTTCCATATTATAAAATTTATAAGTTGCTCACAGCCTAATCAGAACTACCTATTTTGTAACATGAGTCCCATGTAATAAAGAGTGAAAATACCCAGGTGTCCAATCTCCAGACAGTATGTATTTTCTCTAATGCTCTAATTAGATGCTCTAATCAGTCCTGTGACCACTGGTGAGAAATTAGCACAGACTGGACATTCCTTGGCATCAGGGTGCCCAAGGAGATACTCACAGCTGGAGAAGATCAGCGGGCAGGAGTGCTCGTCCATGGGGAAGTTATGCAGCTGCAGCTGGCACTCTGCATTGATGGTGAGCCTGTGGGAAAGCCACATGTCACCCTGAGGTCACTCAGTAACAACCTTGTAAGGTTCCCATGCAGTTTGATGGGACTGTCCCTTACCACCGTGGGGGCAGGGGGAGGGGACAGCACGTGCAGTCACTGCTGGCAGCAGCACCATCCAGTCAGTGCTACCATTCAGTTGCTTCTGTGTTGTGTTATTTTGTTCTGCTTTAACTATTGGTAGCAGAGAGAATTTCAGCTAATGAAATCCCAAGTCAAGTCAGAAGAGACATATAAAAACAACTGCAGTTTTAGCCATCCTTGTTTAATCTGTTTAAAGTAAGTCCTTCCTCCATTTTGAAAGTGGTGTGTTTGTGTAAATAGGTATAATTCCAAATTAATCCACATGTAGGGGGAATTTCCTATTTGGACAACTCCATTTCACTAAGAAGGTGGTGGATGTACTGAAAGTGTTCACTGCATCCTTCCAGAGAAGACAGCCCTCGGAGTTTCCATAAAGGATCCCAGCAAAGACCATGTCTTGAGTCCGGCTTGCTGAGGCTCACTTTTATCTCAGAGTCTCCTTCAGAGTCCCTTAGGGTTGATGAGGAAACACCTCTAGAAACTCTGGCTCTCTAAACATAAGTCACCAGCAGGTTTATCTGTTGTAGGTGTTTTTTTTTATTATTTTTTATTTTTTATTTATACAAGCACTGGGTACAGTCAGAAGTGTGGGGTGAGAGAATTCATCAGAGCCAGAGAGGGGAACAGAACAGGCAGACTGACAAAATACACTGCTGAGGGGAGCAGCGGGCATGGCAGGAGAGGTCTGCGCGCCATGTGGGACCCTTGCCTGCGGCCGGGGATCGAACCGGTACTGCAGAGGCTGCAGGCAGCTTCGCAGTCCAGTGCTCAACCACTGCGCCACCAGGGGAGGCCCTATTGTAGGTGTTTTAGTTATTCCTCCAACAACAAAAGTTTCGTTTCCCTGAAACTTTAAAAAATAATCTTCTGCTTATTTTTATTTTAATCTGTGCCTTTATTTATGCTATGGACACTTGCTTACCACTATGAGTTACAGATTTCCCCTCACTGTCAGAAATCACCTGCAGTTAGGAGCTAATGACACTGGACTTAAGGGTGAAGGAGGAGAGCTCGAGGGCTAGTAGGGGCTTTCACGGAGTGGGAGGATGCAGGGGCATGGCTCAAAGGATTTAGAGAAGTCACTTTCCCTTGAGGCACGCTAGATCTGAAATGCTCTTTAGACCTTCAGGAAGAGAGCACGCAGGCAGGCGGATCCAAGAAGCTGGGTGTACTGGGTAGGAATAGGCATATGGGAATTCTCAGCATGAATATGGCTTTTAAATTTGTGGGAGTGGATAAGCTACAGCAGTGGGAAGATGAAAAGAGAGTGAAGTGAGGGAGCAGGCCGGCCTGAGGCAGAAGGAGCAGCAGGAGCATCCAGTACTGTGCCAAGGGTCCAATCACTATGATGATCTAAATTTTAAATCCAAAATCAGATGGTCAGTAACCAAAGATCTACTGGTATCTTACCTTAAAGTATAAAGGATTTTTTCATCAGGATCAAAGGCAGGAGCCACAGTGCCAAAAAGGTGGTGAGAGAGGCTGTTAGTTCAGGGCTAGGGCCACCCCATGCTCCTGAGAGGTCACTTGCTGACCTGACTCTAGGTTGAAAGAGCAGAAAGTCTGGCTTGGGTGCAGGACGCTGCTATGCTCTGTGGCAGATATGTGTTCCATTAGACTCAGACCATTTGAGTGGAGAGAATTTTTTTTTAAGATTTATTTATTTATGCATACATGAACTGGAGTATAGGCCAGAGGTGTGGGGGGTGGGAAGATTCACCAGACAGAATGGGGAACAGAACACACAGACTGACTGAAAGTCACTGCTGAGGGGAGCAGCGGGAGAGACAGGAGAGGTCTGCTGCTCCATGTAGGTAGCTCCCTGGCCTGCCGGGGATCAGACTCGTGCTGCAGAGGCTGCAGACAACTTCATAGTGCTGTGCTTAACCTCTTGCACCACCAGGGAGGCCCTCGAGTGGAGAGAATTTTGAGAGAGACCCTAGTCAGAATTTTGAGATAGACCTTAGGTTCAAACTCTGGTAACACTAGTTCCCAGTGGTGACTTTGGACGAGTCAGTTCATACTGAGTTTCTTTGAGGACAGGACCTTTCAGCCCCCAAGAGGACTCATTCTAAGGTAGCTGCCATTCCCATTGAAGATGCACTGGGAAAACCCCTCGCTGCTCTTTTTACCCATCATAGTCTCAAATTTGGCTATAATTGCATTTGTTAATTAGTACTCCAAGACATCTGTTTTCATAGCTGATGGGACTTGTAGGTCAAACATATGAAAGATAATTTCCACAGTTAGCTTTCAGCAGAAAAGAATTCTGATGAAAGGATGAGTTTATATTCATACAGATCATTTGTACACCATTATTTGTATATATGGCATTTAGATAAACTTTTTCAGAATGCTGTAGCACGTCGAACATAAGAAATGAAGAACTTATCTATGAAAATAGGGTCCAATCACTATGATGATCCAAATTTTAAATCCAAAATCAGATGGTCACTAATTAAAGATCTTCTGGCATCTTACCTTAAAGTATAAAGGATTTTTCCATCATTCCATATTCTGAGGAGCTGATTGGGGGTGGTGATCCAGTGAGCCTCTGCAGTCTTAGAATTGCGGAAGATGGTATCTGGAATCCATATCAACCCCACCATGTTGCTGTTTAAAGTAAGTATTTTCATTGTGCTGTTGAATCGAAGTCGGCTGTCGGTCCAGGTCTGAGCAAAAAATATATCAATTTGGTATTCCTGAAACAGAGCAAAAGGAGGCAAAGCAGTTCTATTAGTGAATTTTCTGCCTGCTTCAATTTCTTTGCCCAAAGTTTGGTTTTCTTCCATATTTACATCCTCACCTGCCCACTTCCCCTCCAGTTAATGCTTAATATAGTGGTTGCTTTACCATGGTAAACATTTAACAAGTGATAACCGATATAGTTACCAGTATGATTATGTGAACTTGCTCTGTAAATTTTAAGTTGTATCAAACACATAAATTGTGATGAGGGGTTAAGAGGTAGTAGAATATAATTCAGAACATAGATGTACACCCTGATGCATCCACCAGTCCAAGCTGTGAGTGGTGGAGCTTCTATTCTCTAATTAAAATGGTTAGTGGCCACCGCCTCATGCAATGATAAAGAACAAAGGAAATGATCACATGAAAAACCATTAATGTCTGGCAGAGAACAGGTGATCCAGAAGTATTAGCTTACATAATAATAATAATCAAGAGTCTTCTCAAACAACACAACCCAAATCAAAAAGAAGAAGCAACAAAAAACTATGCAATGCATGCCTATAGAACCTGTCATCGATTAATTATAGTTCAATAATAATAACAAAACTAGCACACTGATAGCCACCCCAGCCAAATGCTGATTCCAACACAAGACTGATGAGGCTCAAATTACATCTGTATCTGGAAGTCATCCCAGTGTTTACAACCCAGAGTAAGACTTTGCTGTGATGTTGGATGTTAGCATGGGCCAGATGTCACCATGAACTCTAAAGAAATGTCAGTTGCCTGGACCTCAGAGGCCCTTCTATTTATTTATTTTTTATTTTGTTTTTAAAAAAGATTTATTTATTTATGCATACAAGAACTGGGATGCAGGCCAGAGGTGTGGGTGGTAAGAGGATTTACCAGAGACAGAGTGGGGAATAGAACAGGCAGACTCACTGAAATACACAACTGAACGGGTCAGCGGGTGAGTCAGGAGAGGTCTGCTGTGCCATGTGGGCACCTCCCTGGCTGGGGATTGAACTCCTGCTGCAGTGGCTGTGGACAGCTTCATAGGTTGCGTTTTAACCTCTTGCGCCACCAGAGAGGCCCCTCTATTTAATTTAAAGGATTATCATGAGGTCCATAGTCAGGAAGGTATAGAGGCTGATTGTTAGAGGTTTTCACATCTTTTGTAGGTTTCTGCAATATTTTTGATATTATAAACTTACGATTATTAGGGAATGAGTGCCATACTTTTCAACAAATTCCATCTTTTCCTTTCCATTCCAATCAAAAAACCTTGAGATAGGTCATTCAACTGACCAGATCCTTCCTTTTATTAACTAATCCATCATTCTTCATCTATTTGCTGCGCTGTGCCAGGCCGTGTCTCCAGCAAACATCCAGTACTGTGCCAAGGGGAAAATATCCCCAGCAAACATCCAGCATGTGACTGAAAGCAGCTCCTGCAGGTGAAATCTGACCATTAGTTGCAGGAACAACTATGAAATGTGAAGATGGATCCCCACGCAGAAGTCCTTCCACAATCATCCTGTTGATAAACAGTGTCCTCTCCTTCACCTTTAATGGTAAGGACCTTCCAACTCTAACCTTTTATATTTTTATATTCCTGCCTATAGTTAGCCTTTCACCAATGAAAGGTTGTCTAGTTTCACTCATTCCTGTGGCTTTTGCAATAAAGAGGCAACAGAATGACCATTCACATCTTTTGCCACTGGAAACAACTTTTATATGTTTGAATTCTGCATGAAATATTCAGAAAGCACTAATTAGGCTGCTCCCATCACTTTATTGCAAAAGAAGGGGCAGTAGGGTTGTGGGGCGCATGCTTTAGTTTATTCTGAAATTCCATCACAAGCTCCCATCCAAGAAGCATAAGGTGGTATGAATGTTTTATTGTGCTACGTTTGATTCAATGTTGGAGAAACATTTCCCACCCACGGAGAAATGTTTTTATGTTTCTCATAAACTTTCTTTGTAACAGCATTAATCATCTTTCTGTAGAAGGAAAAAAAATAATTCTACAATGTCTGTGTAAAAAGAAATAACATTTTATATAATTCATAAATAGCTGTGAAATTAATGTGTTTGAAATGTTAATAAATGAAATAGGTAAAAACATGCGCAGAATTCCCCCAATTTAAGTCCTGGTGCTTGTGAAGAGCTGCACTCGTAATTTGTTTCAATAACTGAAGGACTTAATGATTCCTAAATAGACCATGAATTATTGCAGTATGTCTAACATTTTGACAAAACAGAAGAAAAATTATGCTGCTTAATGCTATCTGTTACTTCTAAAAATTGGATTTTTTCCTAACAGGTTTCTCTTTACCTTTACCAAATAACAAAACCAAATGGAAGAATGAAGAATTAATAAAGGACATTCCTATTTCAAATAATTGACATGCTCTCACTCTGCTGAATTTCATGACACTATTAACATCCCTGATTCACAGAGAGGAAGCATCATCCTGTCTGTGGGCAATATATCCCTAGCCAGTGAGCTTTGCTGGAGCCCAATATGATCTCAAATGTTTCCCCTAGGGACTTCAGGCAGGAGGCAGGAGGTTGAATGTGCCCTTTGGTGCTAGTCTGCATTCCAGGAAATCACCTTCACTTGTGCAAAGCTAAATACATTATGAAAGAGATGCATTACAGAGATTAGAAATCCCTCTGGGTAAAGTAATATTTAGCGAATTACATCAAGATTTGACTCGCCCCTCAGCCCCTCAGCAACATTCCCAGAGCATCATCACCATAAGAGGCAAATGGGAATTTCTAAACCACATGTAAAGAATTTTCAGCTTCTGGGACCTCATTTAGACAACCCACATCATGCTTCCAGGTCACTGCCTGGGAAGGAGGTGGGGCACACAGTATTTTTCTTTTTTTCCTAACAGCACCCTAGGGGAATTTCATCGTTAAAGAGGAGTTTAAATCTTCGCTATTGGGACATTGCCTTACATGAAGGCCTATGAAGGTAATCGTGGAAGGTGAAGAAAAATAGCAATGTGATTTTCCTGTGCATGAAGAAAGTTATAATTCTTTACTGGGTTCCACTTTAATATTTACAACGACTGGTTTGCAAGTGATCCTGCTCTGAGTTCCTTCCAAAATGATAAAGTAATTTCTCTTTGGGCATTGCTCAGAGGTACTGACCACCACCCAAAAGTTTACAATGTTAGACTACAAAAAAAGAAAATAGAATATAAAACAGTTTAGTCATACTTTGTAAAAGAAGCTGTTGAGGGTGCTTATGTGAGCAAGATTTTTATTTTGTGTTTATTTAGCTTTTTACCCTTGAAGAATTGGCTTGGACTCTTTCTCCTAACAGCTGACATAAAAGTCAAGATTTCAGATTTGGTAGTTTTGTCTTTTTTAACATAGTGGGTGATAGGTGTATTGCAAGATATGTTAATTGTGCCTGAGCAAAGGGTATGGAAATGCTCAGCAACCCCCCCTCCCCATTTAGGTAATTGATGAACATGCATGAGTTCAAGGGGTGCAACAGTTGATTTGATTCTCTTAAAGCAGCACAATGACTGTCAACATAGCTAACATCTGTATCCCACCATATCACTTTCTTTGATCTTCTCTGATGAGAACATTTAATTCTTTTCATGCCCACAGTCTCTAACTCAGGAAAAATGTATAATTTAATGAAGAAACTTCTCAATCTCTTTTTTAGCACCCCAAATATTTGCTGTATGAGAAAATGATTTAAGTTCATACGAAATTCTCAGCTTTACAGCTGATCCCAACGTGAAATGGGTCACAGTTGGTGACCACTGGAGGTTGAAGTTCATTGTTTAGTCTCATTTTTTCTTCAGACTGAAGGATTCCTTTTTAAATATTTAGACAGAGCATAGCAGGTCCTTAGACTTGCCAACTGTCTAAATAGCTCTGAGCTTGTGGGGCTTCTCAGTGAACACAAAGCAGCTCTGAAAGAAGTCTGGATAAATCTGGACCCATGGAAAAGAAACTGGCATAAGCAGTCCCTAACACAGCACTGACTCACAGAGCAGCAACGTTGGAACTGATGAGGGATGAGGGAAATATCACCCCAAGTCCACGTGGAGCAATGAGAAGCCTAGAGAGACTACACCAAGAAGGTGCAGCCCCCGCGCAAGGGAAGTCTCATGGTTGTCTAGAACCTGGTTCAGAGTAGATGGGTAACTACATGAAGGAATGCACATGTTTTTGGGGATGCAATATCAGGGCTGCATCATCATCTGGTGCAAGCTAGGGTGGGATGATCAGGAGCTATTGCTTGGGGCAGGGGCTCCATAGTTCCTGCTAATCAAAGCTTACTATCTCTGTTCCCTCTTCTTACCTAACTCACTGCTAATCTTTACAAGTAAGGTATTTTAGCTGATCTTGCTAATGTGGCCATAATACCTGCCTGCTGTTTTCAACAGATACTGGTTTCCTGGTGTATTCCTCATACCAGGACTCTGTCCTGGGTGAGAGGTTCTCTGCCAGACGGTATGTTTAGCTTGACCAGCAGGAACTCTGGGCACCAAGACAACAGCCCTAAGAACAAGGAGAGCCGGGGATCCCACAACACAGAAAAAGGCAGTCTCTCACGCTCGTGTCCTATGAGGCTGCTACTTGAATTGGCAAGTACAAACTCGGTTAGCCTGAGCCAGGCAGTCATCCAGGGGAGAAAATGTTGACATCACCTTCAGATTAGAAAAGCAGTCCCTACAGTGGGGTTGAAGGGTGGTATAGACACTTCGAAAGCCTCATGGAAGACCCACACCCTTGGGATGCGACAGTGGGAGGGGTCAGGGTCAGTGCAGTTGAGAGGGCAGATAATAGTGTTTCTTTAATCTGTCCATCAACTTTAGGAGATACATTTCATGGCTTTCTCAATTTTCAGCTCAAAAATGGATCCAAAGAGACACCCACGGAGAGGAGAGAAGAGGCGCGAAGAGGGGAGGCGAGGAGAGGATATCTTTTTGATAAAAGATACTCTTAATTTTAATGATTGAGATAGCTGAAT